TTCTGCTCCTTATAGGCCACAACATACAACTCGTTTGTAGAATGAAGGGGGCAAACATTACAGGCCATGGCTCGAACTATGATAGCTGATTCAGGTTTGCTGGAAACACTGTGGGCTGAAGCTAAGATGTATAGTAACCATGTTTTAAATAATGTGGTGAATACAACAACCAGTGAATTGCCATTCACTAGGTGGCATGGCAGAAAACCAGATTTGAGTTGCCTACATACATTCGGAGCCCCAGCATGGGTGCATATACCATCACAAGTGAGACTGAAAGAGCAACATAGAGCTCGACAGTTATTTTTTGTAGGATATGAGGCTAACCATAGATCATTTAGGTTTTGGGAGAAAGACACAGTTAAGGTTTATAGAACACTTGGGATGGAATAAATTAGAAACAAATGATAATGTAATTTTCGACATAGCTAATCCATGTTTGTTTAAGAAAGAAAGTGATGGTGTGATTTCATTGTTGCTATTGTTCACTGTTAGGAATATAATTTAACAGTTGTGTTGGCAATATATAAATCATGTAACAATGCTGTACCTGTTTCTTTAAATTATGCGATTTAAAGAAATCATGTGATTGGTTGCTGTTTCCTTTTTATACCATAAAGTTTCAATTTTGATGCTTAAATCTTGATTCCTTGTGAGTTTATTCAATTCTTTGCTTTCTATTCTACTCTCTCTTGGTATTGCCACATCAGTTATCCACACTTTCTTCTTTTCAAACATAATTATGAACAAAGACTATATCCGTTTATATTCAGAAATTCCACAATATGTGCTCATTTAAACTACTTTTTCAAATTTATGTTTCCACCAATTTTTCATTACTTGCACATGGTAACTTTTACATGTGTTCCAATGATTCATGTTGGTGACCGTATTATGTCATTGTTTGTAATCAGTTTGTGTGATCTTGTATGAACTGAGTATATGATCCACTGTTTCTTCTGCTACTTTGCACAATTTGAATTTTGGATAATTTGAATCATTACTACTACTACTACTATTACTACTACTGTTGTTGTTGTTGTTGTTGTTGTTGTTAAAATTAGCTGTCCAAAGGAATCATGATTATTAGTGGTTAAAAATGGTTTACGGTTTTGAGCAACTCTGGCCTTCTCTTTATTTGTTTTCTCCCCGCATGTAAATTTAGAGCCCCGGAGCTATGTGGAATCTGTGGCTCGTACAGCAGCAGCAACAGGCAATAGCAGTGGGAGTGGAATCAGCCTTGCTGGGAAGTTCCAGCCATCTTTGGCTTTAGAGACCTACAGCACTGAGACATCTGGAAGGAATGAGTCCCTCAATAACTCCTTCACCTTGCCTAGCCCAGCCTCTGCCAGCAGCCCCATACATAGCATGGATGGGTAAGTTGCAGGAGAGACATGGCTGTCAGATAGCAATAGCAATAGTAATAGCAATAGCACTTAGACTTATATACCACTTTACAATGCTTTACAGCCCTCTCTAAGTGGTTTACAGAGTCATTGCCCCTAACAAATTGGATCCTCATTTTACCCACCTCGGGAGAATGGAAGGCTGAGTCAATCTTGAGCCTGGTAAGATTTGAACTGCCAAATTGCAGTCAGCTGGCAGTCAGCAGAAGTAGCCTGTAGTACTGCACTCTAACCACTACACCACTGACCAAGATCCGTGGAATGAAGGACTGAAAGAACAATTTATCCTTGGTTTTGATTATTATAGCACTGGAATAAGACAAACGAGAGAGAAAAGTTTGCTTTAATGTCAGAAGAAAGAATATGGGAAAGAGATATTCTTTTCCTTTTCTTTGCTTATGTTCATGATCCACTCATGATCCAAGAGGAAGAACGGTATTTGTGCATACACATGCACACACACACAAAAGATAATATATACAAAATATATAATATATACAAAAGTAAAAAGAACTTGTTTTCCCAAAATAGGAAATGCAAAATTGTGTCCAATTATGATCAGGATAAATGTTTCATAGAGTAAGAACCTCATCAGAGCTTCTTCAATAACTGAATGTTATCTTGCTCCTTCTTGTAATATATGCTTAGCAATCAGGACAGTGTGCCCAAATTCAACTAGCTCATTATTTCTTTTTTCCTAAAAAATATTATGAAGCATTTTCCCTACTGGAAAAGATTCCATGTGTCAAAGTATGATTTTACCAAACTGTTTATAAATCTATAAGTACTGGCATGCTTTGGCCACATGAGGATATCCACGGTTCACATTTCTCCATATGCACAAGTGTATTGTGAAATCCTTTCCTCTCTGAAATGTTTGCATTTTAGATTGTGTGTGTTTCATAATGGCTTATAAACAGTGAAATTACAAGATGAAGTAAAATGACTGCCTCATAGGCAATTGCTCTATAACTTTATTTAAATATTGTTTCAGAAAGAGGAACACAATTGAAACTAACTCCCTGAAAACAAATAACTATGGTCACTTACCTGAATGAATATCAAGGATAGAAGTGCGAGCATGATTTTAAATCACTATGACTTAAAGTGGGAATTCCCACAGGAGAAAACATTTGGGAACCACATCAGAGCAGTGGGTGGTACCAGCACGGAGAAAGAAGTTTCTTTTTCCTCCATTCCTTTAGCTCCCTCTCATTCACCCGCTTTCACCTTTCCCAGAGGGAAATCAAGGAAACAACACAAGTTTCATATCTGAATTCCAAATCAGGGCTCTACAAACTTGGCAACTTTAAGATTTGTGGACTTCAACTCAGCTGGCTGGTAGAGGAATTCTGGGAGTTGAAGTCCATAAGTCTCAAAGTTGCCTAGTTTGGAGACCCCCTGTTCTAAATCAAAGAAAAATGTTAAAAGCTTAGGAAGTGAAACTGAGGACTGCACATATTCCAAGAGCCACAGCATTTTAGCCCGTGATTTTGTGAGGAATTCATGGATCACTATGTTTATGCTCCAAACCTCTTGCAACTTAAAATGCAATTCCAGGCTATGAATGAATCCTTTGATAAAGTACTATGTTTCTTTGTTTCCTCCAGGATATCTATTGGTAGTTACCCATCAGAAAACAGTGCCAGCATAGCCATTTCCTTCCAGCCATCTGCCGAGTCCAGCTTCCAATCCACTAATCTTTCTCAGGGTCCTTCAGCACACAGCAGTTACCAAAATACATCTACATCAACTCAGGGCCTGCCGGTCTCTATCAATGCCGACTTCCCTGATGGCCGAACCAGCGCTCAACAAGATAACCATCCAACTCCTCAAGCCCAGATCATGGCATCTGGGGTCCAAGTCATGCCTGGAAGCCCACACGCCCTTCATAGAACAGTAGCTACCAATACTCCCCCCAGCCCAGGATTTGGGCGAAGAACTGTTAGCACAAATATGGTGGTCATTCCAGGAAGCCCAAGCATGAACAGGCACTTAATGGGTTCCCATAGCACTGTTGTTTCATCACCTGGGAGTCCAAGCCATGCTCGTCACCAGCCCTTAGCAGGGGGTAGCACAGCCATGATTTCCAGGAGTCCCAGTCTGGACCGACACCTGGTATGTGGGTACTCAACTCCAGAGGAAAAGCAACAAACCCTGTCTCGCCAGAGCAGTGCTTCAGGTTATCAGGCTCCCTCTACCCCATTATTTCCTGTCTCCCCCGCATACTATCATGGAATTAGCCCACATTCCTCTTCCCCTGACTCGGCAGTATATAGACAGGGCAGCCCCACCCCACCCCAACCACTGCTCCCCGAGAAAAAAAGGATGTCATCGGGGGATCGATCAAACAGCCTGCCCAACTATGCTACAGTGAATGGCAAGACTTCATCACCCATTTCCAGTGGCATGTCCAGTCCCAGCAGTGGAAGCAGTATGGCCTTTCATCATACTCTGCCAGATTTTTCCAAATTTTCAATGCCAGGTAAAGCTTTTTTCATGTTCTTTCTCACTTGAGAGTTAAGCATGCAGATAGTTCTCGACTTGCGACCACAACTGAGCCCAACACTTCTGTTGCTAAGCGAATCAATTGTTTTGCTCCATTTTACGACTTTTCTTGCCACAGTTGTCAAGGGAATCACTGCAGTTGTTTAATTGGCAATACAGTTGTTAAAGTGAATCTCACTTCCCTTTACTTGTCAGGTCACAAAACATGACCTCGGGATACTGCAACCCATCATATATATGAGCCAGGTCTGAGCTTTGTTGACATGACCATAGGGATGCTGCAATGGTTTTAAGCATGAAAATGGTCATAAGTCACTTTTTTCAGTGACGTCGTAATTTTAAACACTCACTAAACAAATGATTATAAATCAAGGACTACTTGTAGAGCAAAGGTAGCAAACTTCTCCAACTTTGTGGTATCTTTAAGGAAATCAACTTGTGGGATATGAAACTAAACAAGTATATAAAACTAAATTTATCAGAAGACTGCAACTACCTACTTTAGATAAACTAAAAGCAGAACCTCAAGCAAGTTTGCACAGTAACTCCAGTTTTTTACACAAGCCTTAACACATTATTTAAATATCTAAGTTTCTCAACACCATCAAAAGCTCCCATACCACAGTTTGAGAACTCTGAGTTGCTTTCTTATCTTTCTTTCTATTTGGATGAAAGATGTTCACCATTAAGAATTTTCTTAATATAACCATAGTTTTGTATGCGCTTTGCAATGAGAGAGGAATAGTTTTGCTAAATATCAAGTATCAAGAATAGATGTTATGGATTTTTTGTTTGTTCCAAGTGTTCTTGGAACTTTGGAAGAATAGATCCACAGCTGATCTGCAGCAATGGGTTGCTGGTATGAGTTTACTTATCAGTGTTTCATTAACTTCCCTTCTACAGAAGGGCAAGAAAAAGAATTTTTAACTATCTCTCAAATTTTATAACATTGCTCTGTTTTATAAAATTTCCAGGCCTCTTATTCCATTCAGCCATCTCTTTCCAATTTTAATCTTACATTACATTATATGGCCTGTTTATAAAAGTAATTGTATGATGTGGTTTTTAACACTGAATAATGAATTTGACATTTCTAATTGTTTTTGGCAAGACTATTTTTGGCATCACTATTATTCTTTTCCTTAATAAACACAGGAGAGGTTATTGATTATCAGTCTTAGCAATAATAATCATAGCTTCATAAAATCATTTATCTCAAATTAATCGACTTTGATTAAAACTGGGGGTGGAGGAGTGCATGGTAGCTGGATTCAAAGGACAGCTTTTAATAGGTTCAGTTAGAGGCCTAGTAGTTCCATTCATAGAGTTTGCAAAGCCTGGTTATCTGCAGTGATTTCCCTTTTTTGTCATTGTGTAAATTGAATGAACTCAGTGAGTTTGGTTAATGTACTTTTGAGTATCTTTTGCAAACCCAGAAATAGGCTAGTTCATTAAGCAGGTTGAGCATGTGGTACAAATCCAATCCACAAAATTTCTATTGCACAAATGTGTTCAGTTCCGCCTTGTTTCTCTTTTCCTGTTTCTTAGACAGCAGTCCTGAAACAAGAGCAAATGTAAAGTTTGTCCAGGATACTTCGAAATACTGGTACAAGCCAGAAATCTCCAGAGAACAAGGTGAGGTGTTTTTTTTTTAAATGGCTCACTGAAGTTCCTTAACAGCTAGAACAAGTTCTGGCAACCATAGAAACAAATCAACCACAAAACTATGAGAGACACTAAATTTTCTGTTAGAGCCCCTTTTCTCCAAGAACCCTCAGTGGTGACATGGTTTATAATAACTCTTTTTGGAACTCTGTGGATAGCTATAGTTATTCTGAGATACAAGATAGAAAGAATGGTTAACTTCTTCCAGTTTTTGCAGCTCATGTGATAACCTTACCTTGACAAGTTGGCAAAATAATATCAACTTGTCAAGGTAAACTTCAGGATTCAAACTTGGGAAAGGTCCCTCCCTCCCTCCCTTCCTTCCCTGACCATGCAAGCAGACAGAGTGATTACCCCATCACCATGTGTCACATGCATCTTCTCCTCTTGTCCCGCCACAAATTAAAAAAAAAAAGGGATTTATTTATTTATTCATTCCTTTATTTTTATGTCACCCCCATAAGATCATTTTGGGTCACTTACAGGTTATAAAACAAATAGAAAAATAATTAAAACATATCAAAATATTAAACTACCCAAATTAAAACCAAAACTAAAAAAGAGCAGACAGCATGGAGATGAGGCCTTTTTATCCTGTCAACCACCTCCAGCGGTGTGTGCCTCCCTCAATAATATGGATACTCTCTATACAATTAAGAAGTTGAGAAGGTTTCACAGAAGCATTGTCTCATGGAAATAGAGACAATCAGCTGCAGGTCTAATAAATACACATTTCAGTTCCTTTGCCTGACATATAGCTGTGCACTTAGAGTTCAGAGACAATGACTGGGGTAAATGGGATGCACTCACTGAGAGAAAAGTGGGTAAATATGGGCACTGTCTCCCATCACATTGAAGTTACAATAAAACCTTGATTGAACAGTTCATTGGTAGAGAGGCATATCTGCTAAAGCCAAATCTATATTAAATCGCAGAATATATGATTTGCAATATTTTGTGTGATTGCATAGAAATCAGTTACACAATGAATGCAAATGGATGCAGAAGCATAAAAGCATCAGTGATGGAAATGACATCAATTGACACAAAGGACATAAATTCTGTCCATTTTATAAACCCTTTCAGAAATAACTGTTGGCAGTCAAAGTCCCAAGTAAAATTCCATTCATTGCATCCAAAGTGTACTGAAGGGAGATCTGTAGAACTGAGCGTTTAATTTTATATTATTCTTCCAGTCAAAAAAGCACACTTCTACATTTGAATTGCTTAGCACTTGAGCATGCAAGGGTATCTCTCCCAATTCAGGATGGCATGGCCCGAAGGTGTACAAAATAGATTCCCCCCCCCCAATTCAGCGTTCAGAATGGCAACCTTCTGTCCTCAGCTCGTGCTGATAAGCTGTCTGTCGTATAATTGGGAGTGAGCCCTTTAAAAGAGTAAGTTCATGTATCTGTCAACAGCCGTTCTTTTCATCCATTCAACAGCTGAAGCACTTGGCACATCCCTCATTTCCTTCATATCTCCCCTTTCAAGGGTAGGGTGACTGTTACTGAATGAACATTGGCGCTACTTCAGATCAGATTCTCAGGGACAGGGTCATTCCTGTCCCTGCTGTAATTCAGGCTTCCCAGAATCAAAACCACAAAAGAGCTTTCACATTTAAATCTTAGAAGTCAATGAGAAACACCACCCCCCCCCTTTAAAGGAGGGGGTGGCAGGGACTCATGCCAGGGCCACGTTTGCTCTTTATTCATGACATTGCTAAGGATATGCATTTTTCCACTCTCACTGAATGCTGCTACTTTTTGTCCCCCTCCCCAAATTATACAACTGACAACATTATTCATAACTACCTTAATCTCCAGATGTCACATGGGAAACTTATAAAGGTGAATTCATCTCATATTTCCAAAAGAAAACTGAGCTATAAATTAAATAAATTAAAGAAGAAATAGAGAAATAGCTGGTGTCCCAACCAAATGGCTTTGGACAGGGCCATCACATCTAATATTTTGGGGAGCTCTAGCTACTGAGCTTTCAAATGATCTAAAACCACATTAGTATTATACCGAACAGGATAGAATAGAGAAACTTTTTATTTTTTGCCTTTCCTATGGGGTAAAGGAAACTTGGGGCATATCTACATTTCTCCCTCTACTCCCTCTACTCTATGTTTGGTGCTCTAAAGGTGGTGTGTTTTAATGAAAATAATTCTTTCCCATTATTCCTTGACAATGCCCATGGATCCCTCTCTCTGTTTGACATTAGAGAGGTATGAGATGCAGATGTTTCTAAAAGGGTTGGGAAGAAGATTCCAAGGTTGCATCTCTTCCTCCAAAATCAGAGCTCTCTCTCCCTCCCTCCCTCCCTCCCTCCCTCCCTCTCTCTTCCAGTGGAAGAAAGTAGCCAACCTATTCTGGGGTTTCGTTACCAAACCTAGGAAGAAATGCTACTGAAGACAACACAGATTCTTTTTTAAAAGTTTAGGAATAGCAGAATGACAGATGTAAAATACATGGAAAATCTTCCCTATTAGAAAAGGTTACAGCACTGGGTTTACAGAAATGTTGATGGGGGTAGGACATGTTAAAGATGTGAGTTTCTGTCATAAACCTCATAAAAGTGATATCATAAAAGTATGAAAGTTTCTCTAGTTCCTGACATTTTATGTTTATTTCACAATGACATGGAACCTGAGATTTATTAGGTATCCTCATTATGGCTTACTCCTTGTTGATTGGTGGTGGTGGTGGTAATGTATTTAACCACAATTGACCACAAATTTTCCATTGGTAGGCAAGACAGTTGTTAAGTGAGTTTTGCCCCATTTTATGACCTTTCCTGTCACAGTTAAGTGAATCACTGCGGTTGTCAAGTTAGTAACACGTTTATTAAGTGAATCTGGCTTCCCCATTGACTTTGCTGGTCAAAAGGTCGCAAAAAGTGATCACAAGGTGATTCCAGGATAGTGCAACTGTCATAAATACATACCAGTTGCCAAGCATCTGAATTTTGATCAAGTAACCATGGGGATGCTGTAACGGTCGCAAGTGTGAAAAACAGTCATAAGTCACTTTCTTCTTTATACCAAGAATCCTATTATTCGTTTCTTTACATGTTTTCTTATTCAAGGTTTAGATCCGTTTATGTTCACGTAGTATGCTCTACTTCTTTCCCAGCCATTGCATTGCTAAAAGACAAGGAACCGGGGGCCTTCATCATTCGAGACAGCCACTCTTTCCGGGGAGCCTACGGACTGGCCATGAAAGTAGCATCACCACCTCCAGGTGTTATACAGCAGAGCAAGAAAGGTAGAGTCATTCACACAACTTCTCACTACCCACCCCCCCCCCAGTGGTGGGATTCAAACATTTTTTACTATCGGTTCTGGAGCTTTGTGGCAGTGGTGGGTTACGGATCCTGTTGCAACCGGTACAGTGCAACGGGGCCCGGCGTCCTCCACATGCATACCGCCTGCAACCCGCCACTGCTTTGTGGGTGTGGCAAGGGAAGGATAGTGCAAAATCCCCATTCCCTCCCCACTCCTGGAGGAAGGTTATGGCAAAATCCCCATTCCCTCCCCACCCCACTAACTGCTTTCCAGCTCTGTTCTCCTGTTCAGGGCAACAAAAGAAGATCAGCTGGGAGGCAATGGGGGCAGGGCCAGCCTATTTGCCGATTCTCTGAACTACTCAAAATTTCTACTACCGGTTCTCCAGAACCTGTCAGAACTGGCTGAACACCACCTCTGCCCCTTGCCCTTTTGGAACATGTGCATAGCAGGCCGCTTTCAAATCAGCAACCAGTTTCAGTCCACATGGGAATGGTTTGAGTTAGGACCAGCAAAGATGCTATTGGGTGATAGAAAATGCCAGTTTTTAATACCATGAAAATATATTCTATAGTTGCAACCTCAGAGACTAAACTGTTTGTAAAGCTGTGGCATCAGAAATTTGGAAGGTGATTTTTTCAAAAGGCAACTGGACTTTGCTTTTCCTTGAAAACGTTTCGCTTCTTATCCAAGAAGTCTCCATCAGTTCTGACTGAATGGTGGAGGATGGAGGGATTTATACTCCTTGCAATCCAAAGGACTAGTGACCGGATGACTGCAAGGAATAGAAACCATTCAGTCAGAACTGATGAAGCTTCTTGGATAAGAAGCAAAACGTCTTCAAGGAAAAACAAAGTCCAGTTGCCTTTTTAAAAAAGTACCTTTGGGAGAACCATGACTTGGATGGCTCATAAAGCTCCATAGACATGAGAAATCTGGGTTCGTGATTTATGGAATCATAAGACTGGTTGGAGATGTTCTAGTCCCAGTGAACTTCATACACTGTAGAAGCTTTTCCTCAATCTGAACTATAAACAGCTGTGACAGCATGTGGACTGACACAGAGAATGTATTGTTGGGGACAAACTCAATCTTTTCTTGCTGGAAATAGCTGGTCTTTAGCTTAGGCTATCTTTTAGGTGGCAATTTATATGACAAACCATCTATATTAAAATTCTGATTGATTCCTTTAGGAGACATCACCAATGAGCTGGTAAGACACTTCCTGATAGAAACCAGCCCTAAAGGTGTGAAACTAAAAGGATGTCCCAATGAACCCAATTTTGGTGAGTGCCTACATTTTTGTCTCCACAACTTCTGTCTTAATCTGCCCTCTTGTGGAACATATAGCAACAACATGTGTTTGCTTTTAAACTCCGTAGACTTTCCAAGTAAGGAACGGAAATATTAATATTTAACTGACATGAATCTACTGAAGCTTTTTGGTTAATTTCTCTAAATTTCTGAAGGCTCAGAAACTCAGTCAGGGTTGTTTGCAAAAACAGAAAGCATTATTGTACAATATGCATTTCTTTTAAGCATAAATGAAAATGTCACAGTTGCAGTGATTCTGTTTAGTATTGCATGTATATTGAGGTCATTTAATTTCGTCTTCTGGCCAGAGGTATTGTTTTCATTTCTCTGCAAATATTCTCAGTCCTTTCACTCTTCTAAATTAATGTGATGAATTATTCTTTGTCACGAATGAAGCTAAATATTCCATTCTTTGCCAGCATAAATTATGCTATGTAATGCCAAGTATAGCTTGCTTGTTGCTTGCTTGCTTGTTTATTTATTTATTTAATAAAATTTTAAAAGCTCCCACCACTGTGGGATGCTGGGCAGGGTACAAATAAAATAAACAAGTTTGTAAAAATCTATTTAATTCATTCATTAAGTTTATAAGCCACCCATTGCACTATCCAAAGCTTAGTTTGCGAATTGACTTTGTATGCAGATATTTCTTGATTCTGCTTTGAACAACAGATTGCCACAGAATTTTGTGTGATTAATATAACTAAGATGAAATGTAACCAACAGTTACAGGCTTTAAAATGAGTCTCTGAGCATTGAAGCTTAGTTTAGTGAACATCCTGTTTATTTGTAGTGTGTGAGCATCTGCAAAGAATGCTCACATCATGCAAAATACAGTTGGAGAAATATGAAGCTATTATTTTTAGAATGGGTAGCCCTAATAAATTTAAATAAACAAATATCTCAGTTTATATGGTTCATCTATCTTAGTGTTGTGATCGTGGGCTGTGAATATATCCCAAATAAATACATAAACTGCAACCAGATTTTTAAAAAAAGTTTGACACATCAGTGCAACTATCCCCAAACTCTGTTATATATGCTTGGTGGCAAAACCAGGTCATCAAAGCCATACAAAAGGCAATCAGAGTTGAGATTAATTTAATCTCTAGGCGGATGATGTTCCAAAAACAGATGTCATGACAGGATCACATCCTCTGTTACCTTCAATTTTGACCAGATCTCTTTTTTTCCTTTCTAGGTTGCCTCTCTGCTCTGGTGTATCAGCACTCGATGATGCCTCTGGCATTGCCTTGTAAGCTGGTCATTCCTGACAGAGGTAAAGTTCCCCACATTATTACATGGGCATAATATCATTTTATTAGGGACGTGGTGGCTCAGTGGCTAAGATGCTCAACTTGTCGATCAGAAAGGTTGGCAATTCGGTGGTTCGAATCCCTAGCGCCGTGTAACGGAGTGAGCTCTCGTTACTTGTCCCAGCTTCTGCCAACCTAGCAGTTCAAAAGCATGTAAACGTGCAAGTAGAAAAATAGGAACCACTTTTGGTGGGAAGGTAACAGTGTTACGTGCGCTTTTGGCATTTAGTCATGCTGGTCACATGACCACGGAGACATCTTCGAACAGCGCTGGCTCTTCGGTTTTGAAATGGAGATTAGTACCATCCCCTAGAGTCAGGAATGACTAGCACATGTATGTTCGAGGGGAACCTTTACCTTTACCTAATGTCATTTTATAGAGTATTTAATCTTGGCAAGTTCAGGGACACCACCAAGAAAGTTTGAAGTCAACTTTAATTTCAGAAAAATAGAGGCAGCAGCAAGAATATTCTGCAAATGGAGAGGAATGGAGATTAGGTAGAGTGTATCATGTTATGAGTCAGTTGTGTAGCCTTAGGGATTCAGGTACAGAAAGTTTTTTTTATTCCAGAGCTAGCAATCATGCTGCATCCATAGAGGAGGAAAGCAGATGCCAAATACTGTTTCAGCACTATCCACTGCTATAATCTGCTGATTATATATAGGAGGGTACCTGCCAAAATGACAGGGAAAGGATGGGGTGGGGGTGGGGGAGATAATATAATGTGTTATCACTGCAAAACCCATAATTCATTACTTTTCTCCTTGCACCATCATTTCTTTGGTACTTGTATCTCATCCAACCAGTTGTAAATCTTCAAATGCTAACCCAGAAAAAAGGACTGTTCACAAGTTGTACCTTACTCTTGAATAGATTACTCATGCACATTGAGACTTTTCCGTGCATGGAAGCATTTCTATACCCACCTAAACTGAACAATTGGATATTCAATTATGAAGCTCGTAAGACTCCTCATTCTCTAGTGAAGATTCCTGGGGGTGGCTTATAATAACACAGTTTAGAAAGATCTCATAAGGCTTTAGGAGATACTGCAGTGATATTGAAATGTTGGTAAATGGGCACATAGACACAGGTATTATTTATTTTTTATATATAATCTTTTATATCCATTGTAATTAAAAGACCAAAATGGTATACAATAAACGTAATAAAAACAATAGAATATTTTAGTGGGTGATGAAAGAAATGTCCTTCTGGGTTCGGCTCCAAGTGGGGAAAAAGACACTGGAGACATGGAGGCTGCTTGGAAAGATGGTTTATTGTGGACA